TCTGAATGGCTCAAGAAAAACTAAATTAAGGTTTTGGATTGGCCAAGTCAAAGTCCGGACTTAAATCCGATTGAGATGCTTAAACAGTCCATTCAAGCTCGAAAACCCTCCAATGTGGCTGAATTAAAACAATTCTGCAAAGAATAGTGGGCCAAAATTCCTCCACAGCGATGTGAAAGACTCATTGCCAGTTATCGCAAACACTTGATTGCAGTTGATGCTGCAAAACGTGGCACAACCAGTTATTAAATTTAGGGGGCAATTACTTTTTCATGTAGGGCCAGGCAGGTTTGGACAGCTTTTTTCCCTTAATAAAATAAATAATCATTTAAAAATTGCATTTTGTATTTACTTGCATTATCTTTGTGTAATATTAACATTTGTTTGATGATCTGAATCTTTTAAGTGTGACAAATATGCAAAAAAAAAAAAAACAGGAAGGGGGTCAACACTTTTTCACACCACTGTATATATATATAATTTTTTATTTATGTGAAACAAATGAACACTTTTTATGATAATGAATTCTCTGCATTCTTTTGCAGAGAAATGTTTTAAAATAATTTGCTTTCAGAGACATTTCAGTTGGTATGTATTTTGATAATTATTGCTCACTGTGTTATCATTTTAGACTGCCAATCCTGGAGTTCCCGGTAAAAAGCCAGGTGAGAATTGAGGGCATAGTACCATCACGCAGAAGCAAAAATGAGGTCTGGTTGTTTCACATTTGAGATATTATTCATTTGCCATCTTCATTGGTCTTCAGAGATTGCTCAGGTGACTACGGCCAATGCTGCCAAAACACCAGAACAACTGAGTCTGACACCTGGTCAGCTTATTGTGGTGCTGCATAAGAACTCTAACAGCTGGTGGCTGGGTGAACTACAGGTTAGCACTGTATATCACATAACCAGACTTAACCTAATCATAGGACAGCATTTGCTTATAGTGCAATATAGTGCATTTAAATACATATTAATGTATAGATAGATATTAGGTGACAGTTTCATAGCTTAGTATAAAAACAATAGAACTCAATGGAAAATGACCAGTTTAAAAAAAAACTAAGAAATGTGTGTGTTTGTAGGCACGGGGTAAAAAGCGTAAAAAGGGCTGGTTCCACTCCTCTAATGTCAGATTACTGGAGGCCAACAGCGGAAAAATAACTCCAGCATCTCAGCCTTGTAAGATACACACACACTCTTTCATTCATGCTCTTTTGTATGTGGTTGTATGTATGTGTTGTTTTCCATCCTCTGGCCCATTCTGCTCCATCCATCCATTCTCTCTGTCTTTTCTGCTCTTCCCCCTGTAGTGTGTCAGGTTATTGCAATGTATGACTACAAAGCAGCCAATAAGGATGAGATGAGCTTCCAAAAAGGTCAGCTGATCACCGTGCTCAACAAGGACAACCCTGACTGGTGGAAAGGAGAGGTCGCTGGGGTCATAGGGCTGTTTCCAACTAATTATGTGAAGATGACCACAGAATGTGATCCCAGCCAGCAATGTGAGTACTATTGAGTTACCAAATAAGTTCCTGTTTCCACATCAGAGTTCAGAGTTGTTTGTTTATAAGGCAAGGGTGGGGAAAATATAAACTAAAATGGATTAAATTAATTGTGTTGGAAATAACCTTTTAAAAAGAGTAAATAAAAATATGTTTTACTTTTTTACTTTTGATGATGGTCAGAAAACGTTTTGGCCATAACCTTTCTTTCTTTCTTTCTTTTCAACAACTTCGAATCTAATATATTCTCCATCATTCTCTTCATTATTCATTCTCTCCTCTGCCCTTATCTACTCTCTTCCACCCTTTTTCCACGTCATTCGCCTCATCTGTGTTTTATTGTAGGATGATAGCTCTGGCCCCTCCTTCCTCTTCCGCCTCTCTTTTCTGGACCAATCAGAACACTGCTCTGGTCCAGGAAGCAGACTCAAGACTGACTAGATTTGTTTGGATTTAACCCCTCCTCTTCTACTATATCTGTTTAGACTTGGCTTAAATCACAAATGAACCCATGAGTTTACCTCCACTGGCTTTAGGACATATTTTTCTTACTGTTTAATTGGGAAATGTTTAATCTGGAAAAGATATCACTTGCTTCTTTTCTCTGTTTATTTTAGGAAGTGACATGAATTAAAGGGGCCATATCATGAGTAACTGAACTTTCCTTGATCACTTCCATTTTTATTAAGCAACTTCACTAAATTTCTCTAAAAAAATAAGACATAATCTTAGATTTTTACATTTTGGCATATACATTTCATCCAAAGTGACTTAAATTGCATTAAAGGTATACATGTCATCCATTCTTTGGTAATCAAATACTAAGTAGGAAATGATGTATGTTTTTAGGGAAGAGTAACCCATACTGTGAGCTAACCATGGGCGCTCAGTGCTACACGTCCCGCCATCAGCCCGACACGCTCAACCCCAAATGGAACTTCAACTGCCACTTCTTCATCAAAGACCTGTATCAGGACGTCCTCTGCCTCACCATCTTTGAGAGGGACCAGTTCTCTCCCGACGGTGGGCTTCTATGTGGCACCACACACACAAAATATACATACACAAAAACATGTGTATTTTTCAACAAATTGTGCTTTCAATACAGATTTTCTAGGTCGTACTGAAGTTCCTGTAGCAACAATAAAGAAGGATCAAGATGGTAAAGGTCCACTGGCAAGGCGTCTGCTGCTTCATGAAGTTCCAACTGGAGAGGTCAAAGTGCGGCTTGACCTGCAGCTCTATGATCAAACACCTCACCCGTGAACTCCACATCTGTTTCATTAGCACTACAACATTTAATAGATCACTTAATAAAAGTTTATTCATTAGTGTTCATTTTTAAAAGTATAGGAATGCCTCTGTACACTTTTGATATGAAAAAGGTGAACCACTTAGCATAAGTTTACATGCAGTGAAATAGTCTCATATCTACTCTCACACATGCTTGATGTTGTGTAATGGGGAACATTGGGTAATAACATGATGATTTGTTTGGGACAGGAACTGGTTTGTACTTTGAAATTTGTACATTTTTAAAGTGCATTAGTAATCTGAACATATTCTACTTTTCGGCTGTTTCCTTCAAACAAAATTCCTTTGATTTGGTTTTCTAATCTGTTAAATATGCCTTACTTTTCCTTTCATTCTTTAAAAGGCAGAGATTGCTACAATAGTTGAGACAGCTCTGAAATTCACTGCTCAGCATTATCAGTCACTGGCAGCCTTTAATGGATTTTATTTTACTGTACTGCCTTAATCCGAACACATTATGTACTGTAACTTCCTAAGTATAAATAGACTCAAATTATGTCACTGAAATTGCTGAAATTCAGTCATTTGTAGATTCCACTAAGCCAATCATACATGTGCTTCCCCCAACCTGTTTCCGGAGCCCTTCAGCTTCAGCGCATGTTTAATTGTTTTATTATTAAATACTGAAACACAGTTTTAAAAACACTGTTATATATTTAATTATATAAAGACCAAATTATATATAATGTTATCTGAAATTGTGTGACGCAACACAAATTATGCTTTCCATTCCTAATTGTACAAATTTAGGGAAGATTTATAAATTCTTTAAGAATGTATAATATGGGTCTTATGGTTTTCCTTTGATGATTTTAATAACAGCATTTGGCTTTATGAACAGACTGGATCTGGATGTTGTACATTTGAGTTGTTGATGAATGTCGAAAGTTTGTGCTATTTGTTCTTTGTTTTGTTATTTGTTTAATGCATAATTGTATAAACATCTATAGGACTAGATTATTATATGGGTTTGGGTACAATTCATATACACCAAAGACAAAAATAAAAATGGAGAATGTTAACAATGCTTATCATAAAATAACTGTTTGTTTTGAAATTTTCTCTATACATTTATTTTCTTTTTATTTCACATAATTAAAAAAGAATTATGAAAAACATTTAAAAAAAGTGGAACCATAAAAGATTCTGTAGTATGAACTATTCTTAATATATTTTCTTCAACATGGCTCTAACTACATTTGATTGTCTAAATCTGATCACCTAACAGCTTCCGGATATTGCAGAACAGAATATTCATTGTTCAATAAGCACTAGACACATTACACACTGTACACCTCATTATTTATTGCACTTTAATGGTATAACAAGCACCATTCTCAGTAATGGAAAACCTGTGTGTATATACAATCTCATGTCAATAAGGCCCTAATGAACGCTGTCATCAACAACAGGACCAGCACTGAGGGAGGAAGCACCGTCCCTCTGCCAAAGCCGAATGTGGAGTGCATGTACTCCTGAACAGCGAGAAATGACCTCAGTATTACTGAAATGGAATGACTGACACAAAAGTAGTTCAACAGTGAGCCTGAAGCAAGTACCTTGATTTAAACAGATTGCGGTTCTCCCAAAGTCTCTCTGAGGCAGTATCTCTGGAGGCTTTGGCCCGTGACTGTTTACGGCTCTGTTGGGAAACAGGTGGACTCTGGAGAAGTTCCTCCACCTGTTGCCGGCGATATACATGACCTAGAATACACAGTTTAAAGGTAATAACAAAAGCCATTTTGTTTACCTCATGTGTTTCAATGAATTCCCCCTCAAAGAAAACCCCAAAGCAGTTTAATAGCCTGGTCTTGAATAACAGCAAAGATTTGTAAAACGAATTATTAGTTGACAGCACCTGTTTGGCAGCGAAGTATTGCTGTCTTTTCCTTAATCCTGGCTCGTGACTGAAGAGACAGGGGATCCTCCAATTTCGGGGTGGAAATCTGCACCAAAAAACAAGTTTTTTAATCCTTCACTAAATCAATTGCATACCATTGTCAATGCATTTTGTTTAGTTGTTTAACTATTAACATTAAAAAGAAGATGATATGACTCACTTTGCGATGATGTGGTGTGTTGAAATGGTGCTCGAAGGGGTTGTACTCCAGAGGATCATAACTCTCTAGAAACACAAAACCCTGAAAACACAATATACATTTTAGTTATTAGGGAGGTTTTGGAAATACTGCAGTTTTCCATAATTTTCATGTGTTGTGATCATAAAAAATTCATCATTGTTTATTGACAGAGTTATTCCATGACAGTAATAGGCTTAGTAATAATCTTTGCTGAAGTGTGCTGAACTCAAAAATATGCAGTTACTGTACTGTATGTGTTTAACCTAAGATATATTCTATTAAAACTGTTTTTATGAGTATTTTAAAAGGACCATTTTTAACGTTTTTATCTGTAATTATAGAAATTATATGTAAAAAATATAATATTTCTCAAATTGCAACGACACCAAAACTTTGCCATGATAAAGTGTATTCATCTTCTAATGCACCAGTGTTGGGGAAAGTTACTTTTAAAAGTAATCCATTACGATATTGTGTTACTCTATAAAAAAAAGTAACTAATTGCATTACTTTAATGGAAAGTAATGCATTACATTACTTTTTAATTACTTTTTGTCACCTGAGCTGGGACTGCTTATGAACAAAAAAACAAGAAGTTATATTTTTGCCAACTGTAAAGGCCCTCACACACACACACACACACACACACACACATGAAATTAATAAGCGTTAGCCTGAAGGAACTGCCTCGGTCTCTGCACCTCACTCCTAATTTCTCTCAATACGGGCACAGAAGAGTTGTCAGTGAATAAATGGGAATACAAAGTACCTTGCATTACTTCTTTAAAAAATAAATAATGCGTTACTTGAGTAATCTGATTACGTAACTCACGTTACTTGTAATGCGTTATTCACACTGTCAACCAAGTTTTTTATTCATGCTTATTACGATTAATCAAGTTTAACATATCTGCCTTGTAACAAGAAAATAGACGGAATTATTTTTTTCTACTATAACAAAAAGTAATATTATTGATATTTATATTGTTAACTGCATTTCTGTACTTTAAAAGCTACATTTTGAAAATTCTCTAATTAAGGGTTACTATGAAATGGCAGAGTGTATTGACTTTTCTATTTTGTTCTGTAACTTAAGAATCTTAATGTTACAGTGCATTGCTACTGTAACAGTATGGTTATTCTAATTGCTTCTAATACTGTACCTGTACCTTAGCATTACAGTAGTTAATGTAGTGTGCATGCATGCTCCTCATCTTCTGTGTCTCAGTGTAGCCATGGTCTGTAAAATGTTGCTCAATGGTCTGCTGTACCGGCAGCCACACACTCTGTGTCCAGCGCTTATGGAGCAGTTTACGTTTCCTCAGGTCCAGTGTGCCTCTGAGAGTAAGATAGTGATCCAGATTCTGTACTGACACACACAAACACAAACACAAATGATTCTGAGGTAACAGAAAGATTCAAGTCCGAAAGGCCACCAAAAATATTACCTTTATGAATCCAGCCTCAGTCTCCAGCAGCGGCTGTATAATGGCATCAACTTCTTGCTGTTCGGAGTGTAATTGTTCCTGCGGTTGAACAGACAGTAAGTGGAGTGAGTGTGCAACATTTATTTAATACATAGTGTGTTTATATGCAAGTGTGGGTGTACCTGTAATTGTTTTTTGGAGCTGGGAGAAAGGGTGTGTTGCGTGTCATCTGCAGTCTTTGTTTGTGTCATCATGCTGGTTTGTTGGTGCCTTATTCTCTTTCTTAATTAATTTCCTGTCTGACTGACGTTCATCAGTTCACTGATGACAGAGGTTTGTAAACACTATGGGCACAAGAGCGATCACACTGACATATGCATAGGTTTATGGCAGTGCTGGAAATCATTTTATATATGTGAACCTGGACAAAAAAAAAAAAGAGTCAAATTTTTAAGGGCCAATTTTTTTTTTTAATTGAGATTTATACATCATCTGAAATCTCATCTGAAAAATGGTTTGTTAGGATATTTGTCTGAGATATGACTATTTGAAAATCTGGAATCTGAGGGTGCAAAATAATCTAAATATTGAGAAAATTGCCTTTAAAGTTATCCAAATGAAGTTCTTAGCAATGCATATTACTAATCAAAAAATTAAGTTTTGATATATTTACGGTAGGAAATTTACTAAATATCTTCATGGAACATGATCTTTACTTAATAACAATGAATGATTTTTGGCATAAAAGAAAAATCGATAATTTTGACCCATACTAGATATTTTTGGCTATTGCTACAAATATACCCGTGCGACTTATGACTGGGTTTGTAGTCCAGGGTCACATATGCTAAAACAGTCTGATGTTCTCAAGCCACAATCATTACTCATCAAAATACATGCAAAACATATAAATAGTTGATTTCTGTTCTAAAAGCCAATAATTTTCTGCTGAATATGCTGTTTAACCCTTTAAAGCCAACTGAATCATATTTGATTTCAAAACTTTGCTGAAAAACTTGTACACAATCTACTACATGCCTTCTGATTGATACTGTTTATACTACAGTATATGAGCTATAAAATCCTGCATTAAATATGACAGAAAAAACACACATGCAAACTTTTTTAATAGATGTCAAATTTCTAAATAAAATGTTCCAATAAAAATAGACTTTTCTCAGTATTATTTTATATGGCAGGCTTTACAGGGTTAATGGACATCTCAATATTTCCTCTCTAATGTGCTGACACAATGACTAATATTAAATATGTTAGAAATCAATGATCTATTTGGAACAGCAACACTCGATTTACTTGATTTAAACAAGTATTGTCTCTGTTGCTAAATATAATAAGGCTGTGACACCATGGGTCGAGTCTCGTTGCACTTGTCGAGTGTAACCTGAAGTGCAGCATCTAATTCCCCAGGGTTTCAGCACAGAACACCCTGACACCTCTCTGTACATGCAGGAAGAAAGAAAAGGTCTCCATGCATGAAGTCCTGAGCCGTACAGTGCTGAAAGACTCCGCCTGGCAGGACCATCCATACAGCATTTGTATAATCTGTATAATGCTTGCATAATTTTTTCATTTCTTTTTTCTTTTTATTTTGATTGATGGCAGCTGAACAACAAAAAACATACCTCTTAAGGCACTTTATGCAGTTTTTTAGTGCCTTCAGAGCAATGACCACGTAAACAATACGCTACCCTAGACACACCAACAAATGTAAATAATGAATCTTGAAAATAGTTCGACAAGTTAAGAATGTTCACAGGAACTTATAATCAGACAAATTGACCAACGCGTCAAATGTTTAATTAGTAAGGTTTGTGATAACGGTGGATTCGCATTGCTCGAAACAAACCACAGCATTATACGACATTGTAAGGTAAACTGATTAATAAATTAATAAAGTGCCTGAACCAGAAGGTGCGAAACCGGGTTGTGGCTGCCAAATGTATGAAAACGACTAGATTTACATCTATCATCCGTCAAATTATTTACTGTCGTTCTAAATTAAAATTCGTTTGAAATGTATGCAGGTAGGCTAATGTCAAATTGCAATAGGGTATTTGTATAGTCCACGAAGTAACTGAACTGACTGAAACGGCAGTCATTACGCGCTTGTTTAGCAGTGATACTCACGGCGTTGTCAAGCTGAAGCGGAAAACTGAGTTCAGAGCTAGACACGCGACTCCAAAAGCTCTCCCTTGTTGTGTTGCTATGGGTGACGTCTCTCAACGTAACGTAATTACGGGCGCGCTCCCGCAGAACGTAGAGTTCAACGCGTTGTGCAACGACTCTGTCAAAATTGTGCCCGCTGTGCCTCTGACCTGCAATTTATTCCACTAACAGTCATACTGATTTTATTCATAACATCATGATTTTTGGAAATAATAAAATTGTCTAAACAAGGAGTCAAGTTCCCTGCTTGTTCTGTTCTAGTTAGGCTAGTTGAGTTAGTAAACCCAGAATATTTCTTTAACCAGTGTGCATCCCAACGTTTTACTTTATCTACACATCCTTCATATTTCCCCCCAACTGTATAAACTATTGCCTATATGGTAATATGTACATGCTGCCATTTATTGCAACTGTTTTGCTGTTGTTGTTGTTGGCATATAGGACCTACAATAATGTACAGTATTTGAAAAATAATGTGTTTTTTGAACATTAAAGCATGTCAACATATTCTGTTACACCAAATAATGATATTTAAAATAGCATCATATGACCCCTTTAATGTAGTCTTGCATGGCATGTGTATCCAGACTTTCTGACTTGGATCAGCATGAGTCTGGTCTGCTTTGCATCTTGTTCTGGAGACCAACTTTGCGTCTGGCATGCCTGAACCTGACATGCTGAATGTGACCAGTCACAGGAGAGCAATTCTAAAATAGGTAATAATTTGAACAACGTTCAAAAACCTTTCTGCTCATTTCTTCCATTCAGTACAACAACAGGCTAATTCCTGAAATGTAGTAATGCCCAAGAAATCACAGCACAAACATAAAAAGAGTAATTTTAAACTTTTTGGCATTGAGTACTGTTTATGAAACTGGCCAAGGCCCACACTATTATATTATATTATATTATATTATATTATATTTGTAACCAACCTATGGGGTACCTGACAATGAACAGCTGAATAGCACACAATATAAAAATCTAAACATTAAACTTGTGTGGGCTTGTGGAATACGTCATGTGTTATACGTCATTCCTGTCACATGATGAGGAAGAGAAGCTCTTCCTGCTTAACAAAACTCTTACAGTAGGAGCCGGCATTCATTACTAATGGTTTTGAATGATTTGTAGGTGCTCAAACATGGAAAACAAAATATCCAGGTATATATGAATGTTACTTTTAAAAAATAAAATAAAGTTAATGTGTAGCAACAAGAACATCCTTAGAGCAATATTGTTTGAAAGATTACACATGTATTTTCTTGAGAGCTACTGAACAATGGGCATTCAACATAGGAAGCGTTCAGAGAGTACATTAAGCATCCAGCATTAAAACAAGTTCAAAACAACAGCAGCTCATTGAAAAACATATAGATTTGTTTCAAAGCTGCTTGTAAATCTGATGTGTGCAATTTCTTTCTCTTATTCCCTTATTCTTTCCCTTAGGAAGTTAATATAGAGAGAGAGCTAAAATTAAGCTATTTCTAAGTTGATTTCCCACCAAAAATGTTGTAATGTCATCTGAAATTAGAATTAGAAATTCTTAATATTTTGGTTATACTGTATATAATTTTCCTTTTTCAAACAGAGATGATGTGAAGTCTTGGATAACACAAGAATACAACAAACTCTTGGAAAAAGGTATGAAAATCAAAAATGTATACTATTAGAACTGAATAATATTTAAAAACTGTTTAAAAAATATTTAATAAAAGTGGATTCATGTTGTTTCCAATATAGTCGAAGAATTGCTGAAAAACAACCCAGCAAGGTCAGATTTATAAAATAATGAAAGAGAGTGCTGCACATTAGTAGTAATTCCTACTTCATTACCTGTGCTAAAACACACCTTTTCCCCTTCTAGATCGGAATATTTGCACATCGACACCATCTCTTTGAGAGCTGATGGTCAATTTGGCTGTTTCAAGTTCATTAACATGTGTGTCCCTGATTCATACTTGATGGCCTTATATATTTGCTATATGAAATGTGACCGTATTGCATCTCTTTTCAATTCTTTTGAAAAGCTGAGAGCACCTATGGTCTTCTTAAGATACAGAGTGTATAATGAGGCCAAAGCATCTTGGCTGTTTGGGGGACTTGATTGTCCCACATTCAAGGTGACCAATGATAGATCTGATAATGAAAAGTATGTCATTGATGCTTGGAGTGAGCCAAAGGATCATTTGCACATGTTTAATGAACTAGTTTTGCCCAAATACCATACCTCACTACCTGCTAAACAAGTGAGCCAGAAGACCTTGAGGTAAATTAATTTTAAGCTCATACTCTGTCCTTTCTCAGCTTGATCTATAAAGTAAAACTCTCATTATGGATAATAAAGCAGACTCAACTCTTGAAATATGTGCTGATTGTGAATCGTTACCTTTTTGCACTAAACACCAGCCTTAATTGTGCACTTAAATTCCAATTTTCTGTCAAATATGTCCTAAGCCACTTCATTTAACATTTTCAGTAAATTTGCACATTTCGGAGATGTGTATGACTTGGGTTTCAGCGATCCCCATCCTTTACTCATTCTAGTGGACACACATCAGCAACTGGATATTGCACCACCTCTATATGTTGATGATGATTATTACAGGTAAAGGCCAGAATTCATTTCATACAGTGATTCTTTGATTTTTCAGGCCAAGTACCTGATGGTAGCACACTTACCCAAAACACACATCAATGTTTGATCCTGATCATCACCTTCCTCCATCTCTCTCCCCTAGCTGCTTTTCTGTCTCTCTCCACTGCCCTATAGAAAACCAAAAATAGTGCAAAAATAAATTAAAGTACTTTGTAAATGTTTACCAGTTATTTCAATTATGACATGAGAAGCACAACAGTTGTGCATTATTTTTGAGTCACATTATGATTCTTCTAAAAAAAAAAACATCACTTGACTTGTCATTAGAGATGAGTGTGTTGTTGTCAGATGCCATCACAAAGGTGTTGGCTTCATATTCTCATCGCTACATATTTTTTTTCTTTTACATTTCCAGAGTCATTTTGTGTAGCACCTGTGTATCTGATGCTTTTTAATGGCTTTTCTTTAAGGACCTTTGAACTCCAGTTTCTGCTGTTAACGAGGGCCTCATGCCTTACTCATGTAATTGCGGGCTTAAACGTCTTTGATCGATGGGTTCTCTACGATGATTTGAAGTTGCCCTATGGTGACTTTAACCCCAATTGTGAGGATTTTAAAGAAGATTTCAGCATCCTTTTTGCTGGCTATGTTAATATAACACAGGATCACGACAGAGATGGTATGTTTATTTACTATTTCACCCTATGTGTGCAAAAAGTCCATACTTTTCAAAATTTTGTATATTTTTACTATTTTAACATTTTATCTTTATTTAATATAGTTAAACAATTCTTAACACTTTAGTTGGTGGATCAGTTCTATAGAACCCCATGTGTAACTTTGTCTTTGTCTTTTTTTTTCAGTGCCATTTGGAGTTCCTGAAGAGGGATACCAAGGGACTGTGCCTTTTAATCCTTCCCGTGGCTGTAATGATTATGAAAAGGAACATATTGATTAAGTATGATCAAATAAGAAATATATATTTAAATATATATATGCTGGCTACTCATTACGTCCGAAGAAGTACGGCATCTAAGTTAATAAAACTCTGTTTCATTCTTATTCTGAGGTCACAGTAGCCACCCGGATCCAGTCTATATCCAGACCAGATCACGACAGAGATGGTATGTTTATTTACTATTTCACCCTATGTGTGCAAAAAGTCCATACTTTTCTAAATTTTGTATATTTTTACTATTTTAACATTTTATCTTTATTTAATATAGTTAAACAATTCTTAACACTTTAGTTGGTGGATCAGTTCTATAGAACCTCATGTGTAACTTTGTCTTTGTCTTTTTTTTTTTCAGTGCCATTTGGAGTTCCTGAAGAGGGATACCAAGGGACTGTGCCTTTTAATCCTTCCCGTGGCTGTAATGATTATGAAAAGGAACATAGTGATTAAGTATGATCAAATAAGAAATATATATTTAAATATATATATGCTGGCTACTCATTATGTCCGAAGAAGTACGGCATCTAAGTTAATAAAACTCTGTTTCATTCTTATTCTGAGGTCACAGTAGCCACCCGGATCCAGTCTATATCCAGACCAGACGGTGGACCAGCACCTAGAATCACTGAATCTACAACGAACTGACTTTTAACGGAAAAATTGACTGTTTGTTATTGTTCTGTTGCATTATCGACAAACAATTTTCCTATAAGTGCTATATAAAATAAAAGTGACTTGACTTGACTTGAAGAGTATAAGAAAAGCAGCCCATAACAACTTTAAATCATGACAAACCTTAGTGATGTGCATCACTGTCTCCGTCACTCAAATCTTATGGCATTGGGGCCACCATGTAACTGATTGGATGTTAAGAAAGCGGGAACAAATATACTGTTAAGTAAGATTTCCAGATATTAATGTAATTAAGTATGGTGAGAAAATTACTGGCTAAGATTCTATAGTAAATGCACAAGTAGCACATTAAAAATAATAGAAAATACATTTGTGCCCCACTAGGCCACAAAGTCAACAACTGTTTTTAAACAGATTTTTAAAGTTTTCTTAAGAGGCATGCAGCCTGTTTAAATCATAATTTATTGATAATTTTATTGATATATTGATAAAAGTCTAAAATGCTAATTTTTTGTTATACTGTATTATTTCAATTGTTGTAACATTGAGTCCTCTGACTGAAGGTACTTTCTGTTTAAAAAAAAAAAAATCAAATTAGTTAGAAATTAATCTAAATTCTAGAAATTAGAAATCAATCCACTAGTCTACAGCCTCTGAATATAAATATTTCACTACCACAGTCAATGCACTAGATGGCGCTCATTCTTCATACAGTAACTTAAATGGTTTGCAGAGACAGATCAAATTCATTGTGTCGTCCTCAGTTGGGAAAACGATTCCGAAATCAAGCAATTAAGTAGGTTTTTTTAACGTATTATTCTAAATATTGCCTAAAGGTGTATGTTTCTCACAGCTAACAGAGCTATGTTTAGTGTTTTTATTGTTTAACAGTGTTTATATCCTATTGAGTTTTGATAGATC